TAAATTTCAGAAATGCTTGAAATTTCAATATTTCGAAATTTAAGGACGCTAATTTACTTAAAATTTATACACCCCGGCTTAGCATGTAGCGGTAGCTTTCGAAAAGGTGGAAAACATATATTTAATACTTGCGCCGGGTATTTAATGTTCGGCTCCGCCCGAACTTAGACTTTCTTACTTGTTAATATTTAAAGGTAAAAGTCAAGGTCTCATACAAAAAAGCGTCAAAGTCAAAAAGCTAGAAACAAATTAATGTGCAATGCTAAACGAAGTTAACAGCAATAAATATTAGAATAACAGCAATTATTAACCATTGAAGTAATGCGACGCGTTGAAAGTAAAAAATAAAAAAATAAACATGGAACATGAAGAAGCAAAAAACTCAGTAAATAAGTTAATAAAGCATAAATAATAAAAATTTAATGGAGGGGCAGATTTGTTTAATGTATAGATAATATTTAAGCGTCAAATTAGTAGCCTAAAAAGCACAAAAAAGGGTGCAAATATCCATGTAAATCGTAAATATAAATAAATATTTATAGTTAGCATTACTGAAAATTTCCATAATATTACATTTACATTGAGCCCAAATGCGTCATTTGGGCGAGAAACCTCAAATGCGAGGCCAAATCACGCATTTCTCCATACAAATTCACATTTCCAGAATGACGCATTTCGACGCATTTACACAAAATCACGAAACAAATGCGTTCCAATTGCCGTACTATTTTATTGAACGCACTCAGAAACAAAAGTTCCACAAAAGCTTTGGTTTGTCTTTGACATTTGGAATTTTTCAAACACAAAACAAACACAACGAAATAAATAAATCTTTGAAATTTGTGTGTAAAAATTGTTAATTTATACAAGAGCTTTACACATTTTTAGTTTAATCAAAGAATAATTGCCTTTTTGTGTCCAAAAAGCGTTAACAATATAATAAATGTAGTGTTTGTTTACATACATTTTGTTTTTGTCTTCCCTTTTCATTTGATGAGAAGTCAAAGCAAATGCGGATCAAGCAGTGTAAACACCTTCAAATGACTGATTTCAAATCACGCATTTTGGTCCAATGTAAATGTAATATAAAATTCGAGGTATAAAAGAATGCGCAACAAATGTTTATATTTACCTTGAGTAGTTGATCGAAACTCGAATTCAATTTTACATGTTTTTTTTGTTAATTACTTCAACAAAGCTCGCTAACAGAGTCGCAGTTTATTTTATGTAAACTTAAGTGAGTAAATATTATTTATTTAGGAATTTTTCGAAGGTTATATGCTCTTCAAAAAATTACAGATACCATTAGAGAGCTCTTTATTCTCTGAATTTTTTCTAGGTCTTAACCCAAGTTAAATCTTCAATGTTTAATCTTCCACCAAGGTAGTAGCAACAATTAATCAGGCCAAAAGTGATGACCGTAGCAGTTCGTATCTCAAAGCCAATTTCATCACTTGAGCGCATGAAGCCATGAGGTTATTAAGCGCCAATGTCATCCAACAGGTGTTAATTATACAATAACGAAAATTTCAAGTGCATCCCAAATTTCCAAGAAGTCCAAGACCAGAGACCTGTTACTACAGTAGCAAAACAACCAACAACAGTTCAAAAAGCTGACACAGAACAAACTCACAAGTTTTTGTGGGTAAAGTCAAGGCCTTGCTGGAGAATTTAAAAACGCTGATTAACAAGAAATTTCGCTTAGCTTGCGACAATAAAAAGTATGCATTTCTTCTTTTGCTTGCGTTTTTTTCTTTTGTCAAGTTTTCATTTTGGTATAACTTTTTTGTTAGAAATATTTATAAAGGAACAAAGCATTGCAAATAAAATAAGCTGAGCAGCCATTTTTTTATTTATAGCTGCCAAGGTACATTGAACAGGTAGTATCAGTAGAGCAGCTGATTTGATTTATTTTCAAATTATTTGGTCTCGAAAATGTCAAATACTTTTAATTTTTTCTCACAAAAATTCTGAATTGTTAAAATCCATTTGCATGTGAAACCTGCATACAAAACAAGCAATTGAATAGCAGCTTTTGGAACGTTCGCCCAACTCGGCAGCACGACCGCTGATTACTGGGCCTTGCAAAGGATGGATCAATGCTTCGAGAAGCAAACAAATTTACTAGGAAAGAAAGTTGCATAAATTTTTATTTTTTCCAATTTCAATTTTTTATTTTTTATAATTTTTTTGTATTTCACATGGCACGCTTTGATTTAGAAGAAAAAATTCAGAACAGTTTTTGACACTTTCGATACCAGAAGCAACAACAAAATACACGCAAATGTTGTTTTTGCTCTACTGATACTACCTGTTTAATGTGCCTTGATAGCTGCTTTTTGAGCTGATATACAGTGGGGAACCGAAATGAGTACACGCTGATTTTTGTTAAATATTTGCATGGTTTTTAAAGTTAAATTTCTTTTGTTATTTTTTCATAATAATATATGGTTCATGCTGTAACCTTACCCACATACATAAGTCAAGCTTTCAAACTTTATACAGAACAGAAAAATGCAGAAAAATTTAGCAAAATTTCATTAAAATCTCAACGTTTTAATTCTATTTAATAGAATTAAAGTATGACTTTGGTAACCCATTAAATTTTAGTGCAATAAAGTGCAAGTTTTAAGCGGTTGCAAAATCTCGTTGATTTTTTATTTATTTTTTCTTTCTGGCGGCTTTTGCGAGTTTTTTTCATATTACCAGCGCAATTCAAAGAAACGGGCGAAGATTTTTTTTTAATTTTCTTTGCAAGCGGTAGTGCGCATTTTTTTCCATAAGTGATTCATGCTTGTGTAGATTAAAAAGTTAAAATTTTAATGAAAATAACAAAAAAAAATAAAATTACTTTAAAAACCTTGCAAATCACCGCGTACTCTACTACTTTAATAAAACTTACTTGAGAATTCTGAGAATCTTAAAATAGATACTATGTACATTTGCAACAGAATTGTACGTACGTATGTATCTTTAGTTATATGTCAAGCTTTTATTTCATATAGCAGAACATTTAAAACAGGCATGCAAACAATAATTTTTGGTTGTAATCGAAGTTGCATACGAATAATT